TTGCTATTAAGTGCCATGAGTCAGTTCTGTATAGAGTTTCAGAGGCTTTAAATCTTTGTGGGGAGCAGAAAGCTTCATCTTTCTCCTACAGAGTTGCTGGTGGGCTTGAACCTCGGAACGTGTGGTTCATAGTCTAGTGCTTATGTGGACATGGTGCCTTGTTAATTCTTGTTTACCTCTTTTTAACCATAGTTTATGCAGTGTTAGTAGCTCCATAATTCATTCAACACAAGGAAGCTTCAAAAAGACTGTGAAAAATGGAATTTAAAGATAATGGATTTTTTCCATGAACTTTTTGAAGTCCCCTCATGCATCAACTCTGGGTGCTATCTATTCATGAGATTTGTTTATATTATTTAGCTTTTGTCAGATATTTAGAATTTAGAAATCATGATCCACAGATCTACTTAACTCTTCCTGGATGGGACCAGTGATTAAACATTTAATTACTAACCAAAGAGTTTGCTATTCAGATAGGTTCCATGATCTGCTTCCAAAACGTCAGAGCCTTGAATACCACATGGAGCAGTTTTACTCTGTGCACAGGTGATCCCTATGAGTTGGAACTGATTTGATGGCAACAAAAAATAACAGCTTTATGATGTTGGCCCCAATACATCCTGGTATCTTATGAACAAAGTCAACTAACTAAACAAATAGCAATGGTTTTCACCCATATCAAAATTCATCTCATGAAAATACTTTGAGAAAGGGGCGGGTTTTGAAACCATTCATCACTCTACATTTTATCTCTGTTAGCTCTTTATCATATCTCTCCTTTTGACTCCTTTCAATTGAGGTAGTTCCTAAGGTTTTTCCATTGGTTCCTCTCTTTATATATTCCCATCTTATGAAACCATGTCTGCTATTGTTTTAACTTTCCCAGTGATTGCAGATATTCCTAAACCTATCATTCTAATTCCCATAATTCAGTCTTCCCACTTGATGTCTCTATTTGAATGTCAGCCAATACCTAAAAACGCAACAGGTGGGAAACTACCACATCTCCCCTAACTCATCCAATAATAGCTTCTTATTTCTGTTCATGACTTCACTCTTTCCCCCAGATATCTATTCTTTATGAATTCGTGTCCAATTAAATACCAAGTTCTTCTAGACCTAGAAGACTTCTTCAAGTCATCTACTCCTCTCTTCTGCTTCACTACTCTTTGTCGCCTGAAAGACAGCAGTATTCTCCTACTCTCCTGTGTCCATTCCCATTCCTCTCCATCCCTCTGCTTTAGACAAACTATTATTTGTTTCCGAAGCACTTTTCTTCTTGTTTATCTCATTTCCCATCCTACTAAAAACCTTCATTTACTCATTTGTTCCTGCTGAATTATATACCAATTCTACAACCTTTGTTAAAGTTGGCCAGAATATAGTTGTGGAAACCTTTCTAGCTTTATGCATTACAAATGTCTGTAGTTAATATGCTTTCCTCATACAAACAGCCACTGAGTGTCTGCGGGTCCATGTTCATACTTCTCCACTTCAGTGCCTCGATCTTGTCATGTCTCTCATTGGTAAACTGCCATTCCTGCCTTTTTAAAGTCTATCCTTCAAAGTTCACCTCTAACAACATGCATTCCATCAAATCTTCCTTCATTTTATACCATTGCTCCTCTAAACCCCATTAAGTACCCATTGTATATACATTTCTCATAACAGTTACCATGTATATTACAAATTTTTGGGTATTTTTTCTGTCTCTCCTATTATGTTTTAAGTTTTTGGGGAAAATAAAGTCTTACAACTCAAATTCTTCAATTATGTAGTCATAAATAGAAACAGTGATTCAAAGCACAAGTTTTTGGAATCAAACTGTCTCAGCCCTCCCACTTACTTGTTTTGTTGATGGTAATTGCTGTCTAGTTGGTTGTGACCCATAGTACACCATATAGGATTTACAAGGAGCAGCTGGTGAGCTTGAACCATCGACCTTGATTCAAAGTGACTTTGCAGTATAGTGCATTAACCCACAGTGCCACACGATTTATGCCTATTGCTTAGCATTCTGAGCCCTGATTCCACCTACAAAATGGAACTATGAAGAATACCTACTTCCCTGGGAGTCCTGGTGTGGTGAGGTAGGATAAGTCATTTGAATTGCTAGGTCAGTGAGTCAAACTCACCAGCGGCTCCAAGGAAACTATAAAGGGTCACTGATCAATGGCTGAAGTTGTCAGGGACTTCATTCTTCTTGGATCAACTATCAACACTCACGGAAGCAGCAGTTAAGAAATCAAACAACGTATTGCATTAAGCAAATCTGCTGAAAAAGACCTTTTTAAAGTGTTGAAGAGCAAAGATGTCAGCTTGAGGACTAAGGTGTGCCTAACCCAAGCCATGGTATTTTCAATAACCTCATATGGATGCGAAAGCTGGACAGTGAATAAGGAAGACCGTAGAAGAATTGATGCTTTTGAGTTGTGGTATTGAAGGAAAATATTGAAAGTGCCATGGACTGCCAAAAGAACCAATAAATCTGTTTTGGAAGAAGTGCAACCAGAATGCTCCTTGGAGGCCAAGTTGGCCAAATTTTGTCTCTCATACTTTGGACGTATTGTCAGGAGGGACCAGTCACTGGAGAAGGATATCAAGTTTGGTTAGGTGGAGGGTCAGAGAAAAAGAGGAAGACCCCCAGTGAGATGGATTGGCCAAGTGGTAACATCAGATAGACTCAAACGTGGCAACAATAGTGCGGTTGGCCCAGGATCGGGCAGTGTTTCATTCTGCTGTGCATAAGGTTGCTATGAGTTGGCACTGACTCAATGGCATCTAATAACAACAGCAACTCAATGGCACTTAACAACAACAATATACATATAATACTTTCCTTCCCACTTTTGTCTTTAGCCAAAATACCCCCTTCAATTTTTCTATCAAGCCTTGTTAGCCTATTTTGTACAGTAATAACAAAAAGAATCACAACAACAAACATTCCTTTTGGGGTCTTTAATGTAAAAACAAAACAAAAATACATTAAGAGACCCAAGTAGACATTTATCTTACTCAATGTTGGAGTCCTAAACTTCATGTAGTGTTTGGTATAGGGAAGATGCTTAATAATTGGATAGCTAGAGTCTTGGTGTGGTGCTGTAGGATAATTACTAGACTGGAAGGTTGGTTTGAATGGCAAGGCCAGTGGTTCAAACTCACCAGCTGCTCCTTGGAAACCTCATACAGTGTCACTATGAGTTGGAACCGACTCAATGGCACTTAACAATAACAACAATGTAGATTTAATCTGACTCAGTACTGGAATTCCAGACCTCTGATGGTGCCTGGTATAGGAAAGATGCTTAGTTAACTAATAGAAGCCATACTTGTAAGGTGATCATGAAGACCAAGTAGAGTGGAAAATGAGGAAAGCCCATTGTAACTGACATCTGTGCTCCGGTTATCATCTAGAGAACACATTGCCTTAAACTGTAGTCTAGGCCAACATGCTTTCATGACTTTCCTGGAGAACTTGCTGAATACAGGCTAAAGCTGATTTATCAAAAAATGTGCCAGAGGAAGACCACACTTCAGAAAATTCACTTTTGACTATTCCTGAGTATACATTTACATGAGACTAGGTATAGTTGCATCATGTCTTTGTGACAAGTTGAGCCATATAGACATGGTAATGGAAGGTTCAGGCTATGTTGTTGTTGTTGTTAGGTGCCAGTCGGTGCCATCCAGTCGGTACCGACTCATAGCGACCTTATACACAGCAGAACGTAACACTTCTCAATCCTGGGCCAACCTCACTATTATTGCCATGCTTGAGTCCATC